GCAGGTTTTCATTTCTAGTTCATTTAGCTCTTTATAAACAGTTTCTCTATAGTTCATTAAAAAATATTTTAGTGCAGCAATAATGATCAGAGCTGCTCTCTGTTCCATCCATTCTTCCTGCTTCATTTTAACCTTTGAAGTTTAACTCCTTAATGTTTATTTATTTTTTATCTGCAGAATGTCTGTTGCAGCGATGACAGCTTGCAGGTAAAGTCTGTTTCCCTCAAAAACCTTAGGATCAGCTCTTCTGATTGGTTGACTCTCCGTTGTTCAGCAGCAAGACTTTGATTTACTGAACTCCAGCGTCAAAAGCTGGGATGCTCTGATGCTTGATGCCTGGATGCGCTGCTGTCAATGCTAAATTGAGAAAGAAATATTTAAGCAGAACTATTTTCAAACGGGCATCATTTTGCTTTGCAATCAGAAAAGGAAGCTTCAAGAAGTCTGAGACGTTCCTCTTCCTCTTTCACCCAAGGATGTTAAAAGGATAAAAACAGCTTCTCTATTGTCAAACACGGTCGAGGTTTAATCATGCTGTAGTTTATCTTCTGGCACTGAAAAGAGATGCAGTAAATTTCCCTTTTAACGCAGAGTATTTTAACCTTTAAACTTGGACAGATAATAATAGCTAATTAAAGCTACTGAGAGGCTGGATGAGTGTCTTTATCATTTCAGGCTTGGATTCAGCCTCACTCAGGCTGAGAGGACAATAAAAATAAGAACATTGGTTTTCATTTAAATTAGCTTTTTAAACATTTTTTATTAAAGCGGCTTCTGTCACCATGGTAACCAGGATGAAACATTTCTTTAATTGAGTGTTTTGTTGTCACACAGTAGGAGGAGGGTGGAAACTAACCTTCCTCTTCCTCTGTCTCTTTATTGTTGCGGTTGATTAAATTTTTCACCTGAACTGGTCGCCATAGAAACCGTAACGTCGGCTCACCTCATGCATGTTTACACGATCAGACAGGAGCTGCATTTAGAGACGGTTTATATTCTGGAACATGATGCACCTGATGGCAGAAAGCTTTCTTTCCTTTTGTATTTCAATGTCTTATATTAAGAATGTTAAGGAATTAAGAGGCGACATTCATTCATTCATCAGTTTGGAAAATATCTCCAGAAGCCGCCTGATGCTGGATGAAAGCATGAAAGTTATTGCTACAGCTTCATGCTGCTAACAGAAGCACCAAGTTTGTTCTCTCCATCCATCCATCCATCCATCCATCATCCATCCATCATCCATCCATCCATCATCCATCCATCCATCATCCATCCATCCATCA